AATAACTCTTGTATATACCATCACTCTAGTACTGCAGTCTAAGCTCAAATCATCTTTTATTTTCTGACAGCTACATCATGTTATGCTTTCTTTCAGATAAAATTCCTATAGTTTTTTGTATGTCATTATTAAATTTGCTCCATATCTGTACCTTTTTAATTTATTTTTTAGATAAAAGAGCAAGATCTTATATCTAGTCCTATCAAATTTCATCTTGTTAGATTTAGTCCATTGTTCCAGCTTGCCAAGTCCCTTTAGGTTTGATTGTGTTACTCATTGAATTCACTGCTCTTTCTAGTAGTGTCATCCATAAAATTGATACATCTATCTGTAATACATAGCTAAAATAAGCAGGAGTTTTTAAGGTGAGAATACTTTATTTATGTGGCTCTGTACTCTGAGCAGAAATAATTTCTCTGACATTTGAGTATTAGAGTAAGATGAAGTAACACATTCCATAGCTTCTTTCATTCACCTGATCTCATGCTCTTAATAAGACTTAACTGCATATTTAACATAAAGAAAATCTTTGTTGTGAAGCTTTTGACTTAGTTAGAGGCAGTGGAAAACTTGATTAAAGAAGCTGGGTTTTCTTATGAGAGAAGAAGCTAACAACTACCTTGCTTAGTTATGTGTTTGGCAGCCTTGTTAGTCATTAGCCATTAAGTCAGTTCGACTTACAGCAACGCTATGTACAACAGAACGAAACACTGCCTGGTCCTGCGCCATCCTCAGAATTGGTCTTCCTTATTCATTGTCCAGTTTTCTCATGCATGTGAGGCAATTGAAAACATCATGGCTTGAGTCAGCCTCACCTTAGTCCTCAAAGTGACATCTTTGCTTTTCAACACTTTAAAGAGGTCTTTTGCAGCAGATTTGCCCAGTGCAATGCATCATTTGATTTCTTGTCTGCTGCTTCCATGGGCATTGATTGTGTGTGGATCCAAGTAAAATGAAATCCTTGACAACTTCAATCTTTTCTCTGTTTATCATGATGTTGCTTATTGGTCCAACTGTGAGGATTTTTGTTTTCTGGCAACCTAGGAGACAAATATAGTACTGAACTTTCTGCTTCTTATTAAATAGCAGCCTGTTTTAACTATTTATAACTTCACATGTTGTGTTGTTAAATTAGGATTTGACAATGGTGGTGCTTATGGAAGAAATGTATACTTGAAGGTAAATACACATACACAATTTTGTCATATTAGTATAAACAATTTCAACACACCCTATGATTTAGAATATTCTAAAATATTACCTTTTTATTACACACAGATGGTTTGGTATATGCAATTCTTTATTCTATAGTCCTGGTTATTCTGTCTACTCGATAGTGAATATAATTCTCTGTAGTAATTGCTTTATACCCTATGTTTAACCTGAGTAGAAATATGCAGAGCTTTGTATCAGGTCTGGAACATGATCCTGCTTAACACATTATTTGTCTGAGAAGCTGCTTTTCCAAACACATGAAGTTGTTAGAATTTCTCCTCAATATGGATGATTTAAAGTACCATTTTAAACTTATTCTTGAGAGTTTTACCAAATAACATGTTTAGGAATTTTCCGAAAAATGAGTGATGTAATTACAATGACTTGTGCCTTTACCTGAAGACTTTTCCAAAAGAGGCAAGGATTTTTGATCAGTGATGGATGTGTAAAATTTTCTGATCCTGTTAGCAAACAATTCAGCAATATAGAACATAGCAAAAATAACTTTCACCTTTCCTGGAAATTTACCCTTAAGAAATAATTATACAAAAAATTGTGGAAAATTGAGGAGAATGAGTGAGGGCACATAGAATCTCTCTTTACTATCTTTTCAACTTCTGTGATTTTATAATTATTTCAAAATACAAAGTGTAAAAAATTACGGAAAATTATGCTCATGTTTTATAATAGTAAAATGGAAAATAACATAAGTAGGGAGGGAGATGATTAAATAAAACACGGTATAACAACTAATTTAAAAGTATAATTATGAATACTACCAAAAACCAAACCTGTTGCTGTCGAGTCAATTCCAATGCACAGCAACCCTATAGCACAGAGTAGAACTGCCCCATAGGGTTTCCAAGGAGCCACTGGTGGATTTGAATTGCCAACCTTTTGGTTAGCAACCAAACTCTTAACCACTGAGCCATACTAGAAATATGCAAAATGCTCATAATATAATAAATACAATATGTGGAATATAAAATTTTGTGAATGTATGGTTTATCAAAGAAATAAGAGTAAAACATGAAAATAATGACATGATGGAGAGATTAAGGGTTATATTTTTCTCTGCAAAATATTAATATGGGAACACACTGCTTTTGCAAAAAAAAAAAAAAAAAAACTCAAAAGTATGAAGCATTAAGTGCCAGTGGTAAGCATACCCATTTAGTAATTTATTTTAAGGACAAATGGGTCTCTGAGGACTTCAGGAACTCTGCAGGCTGTTGCTTATTGCTGATGTATTCTCATCCACAGTCATAGTTTTCCCTCTTGGTTCCTGTCTATGGCTATGTTTATCATGGAGCTCCAGAAAGCATAACTTTGTCCCATCCCTTTGTAATCACAGACCATCATCCAGCTTCTAACAGTCATTGGACTATTTTGAAGTCTTCCCAGGATCAACTAACCCATCTTCCCCTGCATCCTGTCTGCATTTGGCAAAGTAGGGATAATAGAGGAGGGTCACAGTGACAATGTAGCAGTAAAGCAGGGATCCATTCAGTACATAACAATTGTGGGGACACTCAAGAACTGTGTCCTCAAAGAAATCACAATTTAATGGAGGGAGACTTGATGTATACAACTAAATATGATAAAGAAAAAGTCTGGCAAATATTTTTATTTGATTAGAAAAATTCCTGTGACAATACTAAAAAGGAATAAATTAATTCTTACTGATGAGATTTAGGAGGCTATGTGCAGGTGGTAGCTTTTAGTAGAACTGTAATCAATGAGTAAGATTTTGAAGGTAAAGGTGAAAACACCCTTAATATAAAAAAGTGTACGAGGAAAAGCCCAGGGCAAGGAAAGAAAAAGGGAATATTCTAGGACTGTGGAGTAGTTTTGTGCAGCTCTTCTCTAAGATATATGGGAAAGTATATTAGAAGACTAGAAAGGTATATCAAGGGAAGAGTGTGGAAGGCCTTGCATGAAAGGTTGAAGAGTTTGGATTTTTTTCTACATTAGTAGAGAGCTATTGAAGGCTTTTGAACATAAAATTTACCAAATAAGGGCCACGTTTTATAAAGCTAAATCTGACTGTAGTCTAAATGACAAAGAAAAGTGTAGAAGGGTATAGTTAGAGAAGTCTAGAGTACTCTAGGAGAACAGTAATAAGGAATTATCCTAACACACAGTGGGAATGAAAAAGAGGGGATAAATGGATGAAATAAGATTTGGAAACCAAACCGGATGCGGGGATGTGGGGAAAAAAAACATATCAAATCTAAGAGGGCCTAATGAATTGTGGTTCCAAATATAAAAAACTGGGAAAGAGAAGCTGATTTTCTTGGAAAAAGAAAGGACAAGAAGATGAAATAATGAGTTTGGTTTTAGATACGTTGAATAAGAAGTACTAGAACATTTGTGTGGGGCTAAATCGTAGGCAAAAAGGAGCCCTGGTGGTGCAGTGGTTAATCACTCAGCTGCTAACCAAAAGGTCAGCAGTTCAAATCCACCAGTGGGTCTGGGGAAGAAGATCTGGCAATCTGTTCCTGCAAAGATTACAGCCTAGGAAATCCTATGAGACAGTTCTACTCTGTCATATAGGGTTGCTATGAGTTGGAATCAACTCAATGACACACAGTAAAAACAAATAGTAGAGAGCTGGAACGGAGGTCTAAATATAGATACATGAGTACTGGCTGTGTTCAAGTAAAAACTGAAAACATGGCAATAGAACTCATCAGAAAGGAGCGCACCATCTAAAGGAGACTAGGATTTTAGGTAATTGCTACGTGCAATGGCTGAAGAACCAACAAGAGAATGAGGAATGCCCAGAGAGATTAAATAACCACGATAGTACTGGGTTCTGGAATTAAGTGAAGGAAAGGCCATATTTGCCAGGAAAAACAAAAGTTCGAGGTAAATGGGAGGGAAACCAAGAGAACTCAGAGGTTACAATAAAGTTTTCAATGGTTAAGGCAAGATCATTTGAAAAGCCCTAATTGATTTAGGAGCATGAAAATAGTTAAACATAGGGTATATTTGGGTCTGGTTTTAGAGTAGTGTATGTGGGAAAAGCAATGTGTGTTTGCGTGGGAGGCAGGAGAGTCGTACTAACAACTGTAAAAGTGGAAGCTAACTTTTGTTGATTACTAATATATACAGGTATTGTTCCGAGTGCTTTATATTCATAAACTCATTTAATTTTCATAGGAATCCTATGAGATAGGTAATATTATCTCATTTTACAAATGAGGAAGCTGAGGCACCAAGCAGTTAAATAAGCTACTAGTAGTGCTGAAATTCAAACCCAGGCAGTTTGGCTCCAGAGTTCACACTCTAAATGATTCATACATATTTATAAACCTCACCAAAACGTAAAAATTCAACTGGAAAATTTATACATTCCCCAGAGTGAAAGACAAAATTTTTTATGAGTTAAAAAACAACTCAGCAAAATGGTGTACAATTCAATAACGTTTATTATTCCTACTTTGACATTCAATCAAATCATACTTCTATTTTATCATTAACTTTTTAACATTTGTATTACATTATGTCATAATCTTTTCCAAATTTTTAAGGATATTTTATTTCAGCTCGAAATATTGGAATGATATGCACAGCTAAGATGAAATAAACTACATTTTTACAATCAAAAAATGCACCGACATTGGTTCCACACATGCTTTGGTGAAAAATATAAAAGTTCAAATTGTTCTCCATGGCACAGGCAGGTGGATGAGTATACGGATGGCCGAATTCTGTCCAGTGTGATGGCTGACGGCCTCTGCAGCAGAGCCAACATGCTGAGAAAGCAGAGGGCATTGCTGTTAGCTGTTCCAGGTTAACCAGAATGCCGATGGCTGCACTACATACTCAGCGTGAAATTTTATGAAGACCCGATGCGAGGAACCCACAAATGGAGCTATCTCAGTGTCCTAAAATGAAAGAAAACAAAACAACAAGTGATATTTTCCACAAATGTGAACATTTTTCTAGAGATGTTAGTCTAGTCAAAAAGTACTACATAAAGAAGTTTTATAGAATTTACAGTAAACTCACATAACTTTGTAGGAAAAAAACCTTACTAAGAATTAACATAGATACTTTCTAAAACATAATGCTAGGGAAATTGGGAATGGCTGCTAATGGCTGTGTGGTTTCCTTTTGGGGTAATGAAAATGGTCTGAAACCAGTTGTGGGGATGATGGTTACAAAACTCTGTGAGTATGCTAAAATCCACTGAACTGTACACCTTAAATAGGTAAATTGTATGGTATGTAAATTTTACCGCAATAAAATTGTTATAAACAAAAACTTGAATTTCTCACTGAAGTTCTTACAGAACATTTAATTTTTTCTAATGGAAACACACTTATATTTGCAATTAAAATGATCACATGTGTAAAGTACATTATTTTTCACCCTCAACATCTATAGTTTCCTCTTGGGATTTATTTTCACATCCTTTCTGTGAAACTGTGTGTGTGTGTATGTGTGGAGGGTGGGGGGGATAGGCTGCTTTCAGTTGTCTCTCATTTCCTAATTGTTCATTTGACAAATATTTACTGAGAGACTACCATGTTGCAGGTATTAATTTTAGCACCAGAGATATGAAACAATCAACAAAACAGACAAAAATCCCTGCTCTCATAAAGCTATAGGAGAGTTTATTGGCATGTTGTCTATAGCAGAAAAAAGTTGAAGAAACCTAAAATTCCAACGAGAGAGGCTTAATTAAATAAATCATGCTGCACCCATGCAACAGAATACCATACAACAATTAAATATGATATACCAAGATTTTTATTGATATTGGGAGATGTTAATGATATACTGTAAGTTAAAAAAATCATAAAATAGTGTGAAATATGTGTGCATATCCAAATATGTGCAAAGAAAAATGTTTGGAAGAACACACAGAAAAATTCTCAGGGTTTGTTGTTGTTCTTATTGTTGTTTGCTTTATCTATTTTCTTATTTTTCCAAAAATAACATTTTTCAATTTTACAAATAGTGATATAAAACAGAAAACACCATAGGTTTCCAGCTGACGTAGTTCTCTGTCCAGTTTGATTACAAAGCCTAAGTAAGTAAGGACCAGAACAATTAGAAACAGATCTCGTCTCAGGAGCAATCACATTTCTATGACTTGAAAATCCTTTATGTATTTACTTTCATATAAAACGAGAACAGAACAGGCAGATGCCTACAGTATTAAGTCATGCCAGAATTTTAACATCTGATGTTTAAGGAAGATAGAAAGAATTTTAGAAAAACATTCAAACTTGATCATCATACCAATCTTTCTCTGTGTATTTCTTTAAAGAATTCCCGCAACTTTCAGCAAGAAGTAGATGAAGTGGGGCCAGATGTCCAAATTTTCTTTAGTTCTATTCTTTTCATGCAGAAATAAATATGAATACTCAACGCTAGGTGCTGCATTGGAATCACCTATGGAGCTTAAAAACTGTCCTCCTCCAGAAATTCTGATTCAGTAGGCTTGAGTGGGGACTTGAAGCCTGGAATGCTAAATAACTTCAAGGTTGGTAACTATTAATATTAATTTAATGCAATGCCCACTAGATGGCAATAGTGCTCCCAAAATAGAAAAGTCTGCAGCCTATTAAATTTGTTAAAGGCTTTTCCTTATCACTTTGCATGTGTCTGCCTTTAAACGTCTATACTGAGTTACTTTCATTATTTAAAAACAATAACATAGTTATCTGAAAATGATCATTTTACTCACTGCTCCACAATATGGTCCAGTGGATGGAGAATCAGCACCTGGCCCATCATAGAGTATGAGATAGTTCTGGACACAGTCTCCTGGATCATCGATGCTGATAAAGTCAAAGCTGACTGTGACAGGTCTCCTAGCAGGAGAAGTGATGGCCCACTCGCAGTGGGTGTTGTTTGGGTAAGTGCCTGGATAGCCAGGGCTGGTGAACGAACCGCTGTCTCCATAAAGAGTTCCACCACAGCCTGCAAGGAAAAAATGGCAGAAGTGTGATTCAGTGAAGTATAAACCATCCAGTCTGCTTTAGTGCATATGCAAGGCAATAGGACTGTTTTCATTTTCTTAAGATGTTGAGACTCTCCCCAAGAATAGTAGAGGCAGAAACCCTTTTCTTGTTCCTTTTTCTTTGGGTTACATCCCTCCCCCTCAACCTCCATATTCTTTTCCCTGCGTATCATGGCTTGGGGACAACTTCCTCCAGGGCTGTTCTTTGAAAATAGTGGATTGAGAATAAAATGAGAAACCAAAGAACTTGATAAAATAACTACTGTCTTTGTTAATTGCCAGCTCCAAGTCATGGCTACCCCATGTGTACAGAATAGAACTGTACTCCATAGGATTTTCAGAAGTTGCCAGTCCTTTCTTCTGAGGCATCTCTGGGTAGGTTTGAACCGCCATCCTTTTGGCTAGTAGTCGAGCACTTAACTGCTTGCACCACCCAGGAAGGGCATGTCATTAAAGTTGTCTGTGTGCTTTTGATGGTGTAGAGTTCTCCATATGCAGTGAATTGATGATAAGGACGTGGGTGACATAAAATTAAAAGTAAAATTTCAGTGCTGAACCGAAAGAGAGCATGTTACTGTAAGTTTAGGTAGTAATCACTTTATCACAAAAGTGATTCTACCTGGTTTATAACTGATAGTTCCAAGATTAATAGAAGTTAAAGCTCTTTAAGTATTGGTGTTAATCTGTGCAATTTGTTAATTTGCATGCTAACGTCATCATTACTTAGACTAGCTATCCATGGAGACCCAGATACCCTAAGCACACAGATGGAAACTTCATGGCATAATTAAAAAGCACCTGGGCTGGGTGTCTGACACCTTGGGTTCTAATCCTGCCTCTGCCACAATCTAGCTGTGCATTTTGGCAACTCATTAATCTTGGTGTTTTATTTCCTTACTGTAAAATCAGGATGTTAGAGATGATGTTTAAGCTTTCTTTAGGTGCCAGGATTTCATTATCTATAATTGTCTTGACATGACACTTTCCTTGTCCCTCAGTATATTTAAATGAGTCCTTCTTATCATTCTTATTTTAAAGAGATCCTGTATCCTGAGGTTTTCAGATATTTTGGGAAGTTTCATAGAGGTAAATCTATTGACATGGCTTAAATTCCCTTCAGCTATTTAATAAACAGCCAACCAAAAATGCAGGAAAGTACTTAGAGCCATGAAAAAGCAACTAGCCTCCATGAGTGCCCAGAAATGACAGGGCCTGCAAGGAGGGCAGCTGCTGTGTACACATGAGAATGGTTCGCAATCGGGCTTCTCGATAAACTTCTGTTTTTTAATTCTCAGAGGACTACCTTGATGATCAAACTAAATGTCTGACAAAATTGTTTTTGTTCTCCTGGAATCCAGATTTCTGGGATCATGGAATTGGGGTAAGCCACCCAGGCCATCTCCCCTTAGCTATCCTTTGAACCTTGAAGGAACTGGCTCCCTGGAGTCACCTTCAGGTCAAACAATAGCTTAATAAGCGTCTTAGCATAGAAAGTTTGGCCTTAGGTATTGCGTTCTTTTGGAAGATTATCTACGTGCAGCCAGCTTCGAGAAGCAGGAACTCCAGGGTCTGACTAAGGCTGTGTTTTAGAATGTCCTTGATAATTCTGTTTCTGTAACTGACATACCCTGAAACCCTGCCCTGTGCTTTGATGCACAAGTGGTTAAGAGCTCAGCTGTGAACCAAAAGGTTGGCAGTTTGAATCCACCAGCTGCTCCTTGGAAACCCTATGGGGTAGTTCTACTCTGTTCTACAGGGTCTCATGAGTTGGAATCGACTCAACAGCAACGGGTTTGTTTTTGGTTTCTTGAGAAATTAACATAACAATGACCTATATAACCCATTTTCACTGTCCCCTCTTAGTGGCGCCTTCCCATTATGGTCAGGTGATGCTGCCTGATTTGAATTGTATTTACTCACAATAAATATATGCTGTTACACTAATTCTTGGTGTTTCTCTAAGCATTTAGGTTTTTAACAAGTCAAAAGTGTAAGAAAAATCAGAATTTATAAAATAATTTCCTAATCTTTACACCGTACACATGCTTTATATGTAAATATATATATTCCTTTATATATAGAAATAGCGAATAAAAATAGAATTAAAAAGAATCTCTGTACATTCATTGATGAAAATATTTTTAACATATAAATAATCAAGTATAAAAATATCTAAAAAGATAGTATCACTTTAATTACCCTTTTCTTTTAGACATTTATGTTTCTCTCACTTGTATTACTTTCCCTTACAAAGTGGAAATGTCTTACCAGAGGGCGATGAGGTCCAGATGATTTCATATCCATGATTTGAAATTACACTATCACTCTTAAACCGTAGGTATAATACATTGTTTTGAGAGAAGACAGGATTTGGCAGTAGAGTTCCACAATATTTGCCGAGTAACGGGTAACTGCTATCACTTCCATTCCTTACCTTTAAAAATCAGAGTCATTTATTATAATACTTAAACGTATTATACTTTCTTCTATTTATCATTGCTTTGCACTAAGATGAGACTTGATCTGAATGGCAATTTTTTTTGGAGGGGGGGAGGCTTTGTCTCTTTATGTACTTAAAAATGAAAGCATTCTTCTAAATCACCCTCAAAAATCATCTGTACTTTCAAAGGACAGAAATCTTTAATTCATAGAGCAAAACTGCATTTAGATTCAGAAATAGCTGTTAACTTACAGCAATTAAAACACCAGGGCACCTTTTTATACACTAGTTGGTGCTATAATCCTGTAACCTTCGTTCTTGGGGAGACATTTTGAAGAATGCAGTTAAAGTGAATTTTAAAAGGTGAGGGGGGGCAAGCTTGCTCATTCTGATTTCAGTCAATTCTATCATACTTTATTCATTGCACTGTGGTTTTTTCCCATTGAAAATTGCTCTGCTGTAAAGCGGTTATAAAAAAAAAAAAAGACAATGTACAAAGTATAACAAAGTTGAGTACAAAAGCAATTTCTCTATGGGAAAAGGACACAATTCAACAAAACTACAAAATTTCTGACTTGTTACTTATTTTAAAAACACATTCTGAAGCTAAGAAGCTTTTTCTTTTCAATTAATTGTATGGGGTAGACACATACAAAAGCAGGAAATGAGCCACTGGCTCCTACCGTGCATTCACATTCATCCCTACACAAGAGCTCTTGAGGCCTAATAAACAATTATTATATAGGCAGTGTATTGCTGGGACCAGCTCAACGTGTATAAATGCTGATTTTATTCATACATGAATTCAAAATTTGAAAGTTTCCCCATTCTCTTTATAACTTCATAGTTTAAAATGTGCTTAAGTGCTGGTTGTCTTAAGTCATAGGGTTTCTTCAGAGGCACAGTGGCCGGTCTTGCTAGGTTGTGTTGATCTAGAGAGATTCCTTTTAGTTCTGTGTAGCAGCCAATAAAGAAACCAGTTGCAGTGGAGTTGACTGTGACTCATGGTGACCCCATGTATGTCAGAGTAGAATTGTATCCCATAGGGTTTTTCAATGGCTGATTTTTCTGGAAGTAGATCACCAGGCCTTTCTTCAGCAGCACCTCTGGGTGGGCTTGAATCTCCAAGCTTTTGATTAGCAGCTGACTGTATTAACTGTTTGCACCACCAGGGACTCTGTGGCAGCCAGTGGGAAAGTAATGCCTTTCTGGTGCTTTTTGGATTATTCTCCAAGTGTTTAAAAAAGTGGACTTGGCAGGGCAGAGCTGTCTGTAATCTCCCAGTGGGAGAGGGCTGCTGTAGTCAGGAGTACTGGAGGGCTTGACCTGCTACCACTGTACGCTTGGATTGGGGTCTTTTTCTCTCTGCGTCCTCTTAAAAGGCTGATGCTCTGAGAGGAGGAGGGGGATATTTATTCACACTGGAGGTACTAATCATTTGCCATGTTCGCTTTTCCCTTGCCTTCAAGGGACAATCCAGAGCAGTAGGCATCTCTGCGGCATTAGAGGACCCTGAAAGTGGAGGTGAAGGCATTGAAGACAAATGCAAGTTCCAAATGTGGTATAGAGCTTGGCCCTCTCACTTGTAGTAATACAGTCAGAATCCCCAATAAGAAGTTTCCGTTCCCACTGTAGTTAACATGAATGGAATCCTGGAGCTTCCTAGTTTGGCTGCCAATAAACTATGTCCACGATCTTCCTGCTGAAAAACAGACTTGGCTACATTTTAAAAGCCTAAGTTGTAGTTTCCTCTTTTTGCTTATTGGACAGGAAGTTTCAGACCGACTTGACAGGATAAGGAAAGACAGCCATGAGGAGCAGCTCTCACCCTCCAATGCTGGAAAGCTAGGGTTTATTTCCCAGCATCCAGCAGGCAAATAGCAAATGTTAACTTCACTCATTAACAGTTAACTCAGGCTGGAGGTGAACAAAGAGTAGTTGCAACATGACATTGACCTAACAGGATTGTTCTTCCTTTTCTCCGTATCCTACTCCACTCCTAGTTTCTGCTTTATACTTCATATAAATGTTTGGATCTCCATGGTGGGTGAAGTACAAAGGTTTACGTTTAATACACTGACTGGCACAACCATACTGTATTTCTCTCTTCATTTACTCCCTGCTACACACATCTCCTCCCAGTTTCCTGTAATAGCAAGTATTCCCCATGAAAAAGACATGATCTTCCTCTGGGTATTTATTATGTTGTTATCTCCTGTTGCATCAACACCCGACTCATGGAGATCCCATGCACAACAGGATGAAACGCTGCCTGGTTCTGTGCCATCCCCATGATCAGTTGCGGATCAGACCGTTGTGATCCATAGGGTTTTCACTGGCTGATTTTCAGAAGTAGATCGTCAGGCCTTTCTTCCTAGTCCATCTTAGTCTGGGAGCTCTGCTGAAACCTGTTTAACATCACAGCAACATGCAAGCCTCCACTGACAGACGTGTGGTGGCAATTTATGAGGCGCATTGGCCAGGAATCGAACCTCTGTCTCCCGCATGGAAGGTGAGAATTCTACCACTGAACCACCAATGGCCCTTATTATGCTATAGACTAAGGATATTCATCAACAAAGGACTTGGATTTATTCTATAGGAGAGAGTTTCCCAGACGATAAAACTTCCTATCTGGTGTAGAGTAAAAAACAAACTTTTTGGGAACCTTAGAAGACTCTCTTTAACGTGAAACAAATAAGCCATTTAGATAGTATCAGGAAAGATTTAGATTTATTCAGTTCAAGAGAAATTCCACATCCTTTATATATACAAACCCTAAGAATGAATACATTCTCAACACAGTTTGCAAAGAACACAGACAAAGTGAGCTTTGAAGTTTTCATGGCAAAATATAGATGCTGAACTCCATACACTGTGTCTACATCAGTTGAGGGCTCATTCATAATACCTTCTTTCTATGAACAACACTACAATATTCCTACTCAATTAAACTCTGTACGTGATGTAGACTAGAAAGGACATGTTGTTGTTGTTAGTGCCGTTGAGTAGATTCCGACTCATAGCGACCCTATGTACAATAGGACAAAATACTGCTCGGTCCTGGTCATCCTCAGAATTGTTGCTAAGTTTGAGGACATTGTTTGCAGTCACTGTGTCAATCCATCTTGTTGAGCGTCTTCTTCTTTTTCACTGACCCTCTGCTTTACCAAACATGATGTCCTTCTCCAGGGACTGGTCCCTCCTGATAACATGTCCAAAACATGTGAGATGAAGTTTCACCATCCTTGCTTCTAAGGAGCATTTGGCTGTATTTCTTCCAAGGCAGATTTGTTCTTTCTTATAGCAGCCTATGGTATATTCGATTTTCTTCACCAATACCATGATTCAAAGGCATCAATTCTTCTTTAGTCTTCCTTACTCACTGTTCAGCTTTCATATGCATATGCAGTGATTGAAAATACCATGGCTTGGGTCAGGTGCACGTTAGTCCTCAAAGTGACATCTTTGCTTTTGAACACTTTAAAGAGGTCTTTTGCAGCAGATTTGCCCAGTGCAATGCCTCATTAGATTTCTTGATTGCTGCTTCCATGGGTCTTGATTGTGGATCCAAGTAAAATGAAATCCTTGACAACTTCAATCTTTTCTCCGTTTATCATGACGTTACTTATTGATCCAGTTGTGAGGATTTTTGTTTTCTTTATGCTAAGGTGTAATCCATACTGAAGCCTGTAGTCTTTGATCTTCATTAGTAAGTGCTTCAAGTCCTCTTTGTTTTCTACAAGCAAGGCTGTGCCATCTGCATATCGCAGGTTGTTAATGAGTCATCCTCCAAACCTGATGCCAGGTTCTTCTTCATTTAGTCCAGCTTCTTGGATTATTTGCTCAGCATACATATTGAGTAAGTATGGTGAAAAGATACAACCCTGATGCACACCTTTCCTGATTTTAAACCACACAGTATCCTCTTGTTCTTTTTGAATGACTGCCTCTTGGTCTATGTACAGGTTCAGAATGAGCACAATTAAGTATTATGGAATTCCTATTCTTCACAATATGTTATCCATGATTTGTTATGATACACACAGTTAAATGTCTTTGCATAGTCAATAAAACACAGGTAAACATCTTTCTGGTCTTCTTTGCTTTCAGCCAAGATCCATCTGATATCTGCAATGATATCCCTCCTTCCATGTCCTCTGGCTTGAATTTCTGGAAGTTCCCTGTCAATGAACTGCAGCAACCGTTTTTGAATTATCTTCAGCAAAATTTTAATTGAGTGTGACACAATTAATGATATTTTTCAATAATTTCTGCATTCTGTTGGATGGTCTTTCTTTGGAATGGGTACTGTCTTAGTCATCTAGTTCTGCTATAACAGAAATACCACAAGTGGCTGGCTTTAACAGAGAGAAATTTATTCTCTCACAGTCTAGTAAGCTACAAGTCCAAATTCAGGGCGTCAGCTCCAGGGGAAGGCTTTCTTTCTGTATTGGCTCCGGAGGAAGGTCCTTCTCAACAATTCTCCCCTGGACAAGGAGCTTCTCTGTGCAGGAACCCCGGGTCCAAAGGACGCAATCTTCTCCTGGCACTGCTTTCTTGGTGGTATGAGGTCCCCCCATTCTCTGCTCACTTCCCTTTCCTTTTCTCTCTTGTAAGATAAAAAGTGGTGCAGGCCACACCCCTGGGGAAACTCCCTTTACACTGGATCAGGGATGCCACTTGAGCAAGGGTGTTACATCCCACTCTAATCCTCTTCAACATAATCCAATCTTGCCTCATTAACCACAGGCAGATATTAGGATTTACAACATACAGGAAAATTATATCAATCACAAAATGGAGGACAACACACAAAACTGGGAATCATGGCCTAACCAAGCTGACACATTTTGGGGGGACACAATTCAATCCATGACAGGTACATGTATGAATCTCTTGCAGTAGGTTAACGAAGTAGCTGTCTTTCAAATTTTTTGGCATAGATGAGTGGGCACTTTCAGTGTTGCATCCCTTTGTTGAAACATCTCAGTTGGTATTCTGTCAGTTCCTGGAGTCTTGATTTTCACCAATGCCTTCAGCGAAGCTAGGACTTCTTCCTTCAATACCATCGTTCTTGATAATAGCTATCCCCTGAAATGGTTGAATGTCAACCAGTTCTTTTTGGTACAGTGACTCTGTGTACTCATGCCATCTGCTTTTGATGCTTTCTGAGTCATTCAATATTTTGCCCATAAAATCCTTCAAAATTGCAACTCAAGTCTTCAATTATTTCTTCAGTTCTTTCAGCTGGAGAAATGCTGAGCATGTTCTTCCCTTTTGGTTTTCTATCTCCAGGTCTTTGCACATTTCATTATAATATTTTACTTTGTCTTCTCAAGCTGCCCTTTGAAATCTTCCGTTCCACTTTTATTTCATCATTTCTTTTGTTCACTTTAGCTACTCTATGCTCAATAGCAAGTTTCAGAGTCTCTTCTCACATACATTTTGATCTTTTCTCTCCTTCCTATGTTTTTAATGATCTTTTGCTGTCTTCATGTATCATGTCCTGATGTCATCTCACAACTCATCTGGTCTTCAGTCATTAGTGTTCAAGGCGTCAAATCTATTCTTGAGATGCTCTCTAAATTCTGGTGGGATATACTCAAGGTCGTACTTTGGCTTTCTTGGACTTGTTTTAATTTTCTTCAGTTTCAACCTGAACTTGCATATGAGCAATGGATGATACGTCCCGAAGTTGGCCCCTGGTCTTGTTCTGACGGATGACATTGAGCTTCTCTATCGTCTTTTTCCATGGTGTTGATTTGATTCCTGTGTTTATCCATCTGACAAGGTCCATGTGTACAGTCACCGTTTATGTTGTTGAAAAAAGGTATTTCTAATGAATAGGTTGTTGGTCTTGCAAAATTCTATTCTGCAATCTCCCATGTCATTTCTATCAGCAAGGCCATATTTTCCAACTACCAATCCTTCTTTGTTGTTTCCAATTTTTGCATTCCAATCACCAGTAGTTATCAATGCATCTTGATTGCACAGTTGATCAATTTCAGACTGCAGAAGTTGGTAAAAATCTTCAATTTCTTCATCTTCGGCATTAGTGGTTGATGCGTAAATTTGAATAATAGTCATATTAACTGATGATGAATGCAACACCATTCCTCTTCATTTTGTCATTTCTGGCATAGTAGACTATATGATTGTCTGATTCAAAATGGCCAATACCAGACCACTTCAGCTCACTAATGCCTAGGATATCGATCTTTATGTGTTCCATTCCATTTTTGAAGACTTTCAGTTTTCCTAGATTCATACTGCGTATATTCCACGCTCCAATTATTAATGGATGTTTGTAGCTGTTTGTTCTCATTTTGAGTCATGCCACATCAGCAAATGAAAGTCCTGAAAGCTTTACTTCATCTACATCATTAAGGTGGACTCTACTTTGAGGAGGCAGCTCTTCCCTGGTTATATTTTGAGTGCTTTCAAACTTGAGTAGCTCGTCTCCTGGCGCTATATCAGACAATGTTCCACTGCTATTCATAAGGTTTTCACTGGCCAGTTTTTTCAGAAGTAGACCACTAGGTCCTTCTTCCTAGTCTGTCTTAGTCTGGAAGCGCAGCTGAAATCTGTCCACCATGGGTGACCCTACTGGTATTTGAAATACTGGTGGCATAGCTTCCAGCATCACAGCAACATACAAGCCACCACAGTATGACAAACTGACAGATGAGTGGTGGAGAAAGGATATAGAGGGACTTACTCAGGCAGTGTTGGAGAATCACAAAGGTGCAAGCACTTGAGAAGCATAGTTCTGCTCACTCCAGTTGCACAAGGCATATTTTCTAGTGCGTTATTTCAGTGTGGTGTGGGTATGGGGGCCAATGCAGGGCAGGCAAACTTCAAAGTTGCTTCTGTCTGAATTAGACACTTATAGTGGTGGTTTGGAGTTCCTGGATGGTGCAAACAGTTAAGTGAAAGGTTGGCAGTTCAAGTCTACCCAGAGGTACCTCAGAAGAAAGGCCTGGTGATCTACATGCAAAAAGATCAGTCCTTGAAAACCCTATGGAGCACAGGTTTACTCTGACACACATAGGGTGCCAAGAGTTGGACTCAACTCGACGGCAACTGTTTTGTTTAGTGATTGTTGAGGAGGAAGGGTTAGAATATCGCTCTTGCCACTGTAAAATACCTGTTCAAGGAAACACCATGCCTTAGAGAGTATTAAAGATGCCCCCAATTTAATGTAGCCTTCAGAGAAATTAGGCTAACTAGTATAATTTAAAGGATCCCTGGTACAGTGATTATGTGCTTGGCTGCTAACCAAAACGTCAGCAATTTCAACCCACCAGCCATTTGGCAGGCAAAAGATGTGGCAGTCTGTGGCAGTCTGCTTCTGTAAAGATTACAGGCTTGGAAACCCTACGGGGCAGTTGTGCTCTGTCCTGTAGGGTCGCTATGAGTTGGAATCGACTCAATGGCAATGGGTATAATGGGTAGTATAATTTCATTTCATTTTGTGCCAGCATCTCCACACCAAACACACTTCTTAAAGTTGGTGCCATAATTCACATCCAAAAGCTGCACCTTGTACTTGGACCTCCTTCTAGCCCTTCACATCTTAACTCAGATATTAACTCCTTAAAAAGCTTTTTCTCAGTCTCCAAGGCTGAGTTAAAAAACCAAACCAAACCAAACCAGTTGGCATTGAGTCATCTCCAACCTATAGTGTCTCCATGTGTGGGTGCTTCTAACCATGTTTGCCTCTTAGTACTTTTTTGACATAGTGTTATTGTTGTCTGTTCCTTGACTGTCTTTCCCATTAGACTCTGAGCCTTCTGAGGTCCCTGAATACGGTTTCTTCCTTATTGCCTTTCCAGTGCCTGGATCTAGAAGGTGCCCAGTAAAAACATTTATGGAATGAAAGAATAATGAATAAATGAATAAGTAGATCCATATATGACTAGTATAAAAGGTGAAAAGTCTAGCATCTTTAAATGATTCATTTAGAAGATATTTAAAAGCATGTTACCTCCAAGAAATCACGTGCGCATTCGCTTGACTCCTCAATTCCAAATGAATGAAAAAAGAGGGAAATAGTGTGGTTCTGTGGCGCTGTGAGAACAATAGTGCAATCCAGGTTATCGTTATAGTTATCTGGCCATCCAGGGCTCTTCAGATGGCCAAATGCATTGTTATAGTCTCTGTTGCAATCTTAGAGAAAAAAATATTCATCATCAATGCATGCCTTCAGATATTTAATGCTCTTTCGACTTGACAGGAATAACTTTAAAAGAACATTAGAATTTGAACAAATTATATAAATAAAGTAATTCAGCCTCTTAATTTACCTTTGAAACAATTTACAGCCCTACAGGTGAAGTAAATGGTACATATTGCAAATACAGTACAGTGGTTGGTTAACATAAAATACCCCCACATGAGATATGGAATACGAACTTTCTCTTTGGAGAATGAATGTTCTAGCATTCTCTGCATTTTTCTGATTGTATTGGAGAAGGATGACAGAGCATGACATAAAGGCTCTACCTCCAAGACAGAGTTTTGCATGAGGATTTTCGTTGAAATTCTTTAGTGAATTATTTGTTCTGACCGAATTGGCAAATCATTGTTCTTTACCATTTTTAGTAAAAATACCGAAAGTATTTTTGTTCATTTTAATCAAAGACAGCTTTAGTTTTAATCAAGCTCAAAATGAACATTAAATAAAGTGTTCTCTGGAAATAAACTTCTCAATTACAGTAATCAACTAACACTTTCAGGGATTCTTGGTTTTTAACAAAATCATTTCCTAAAGTATAGTGATTTCCAACTTTGTGAATAGACTAAAAACTACTAAATTTCACTTTACATGGCTGTATATAATATGTGAATTATATTTCAGTAAAGGTATAAATATGTATACACACACACACACACATACATGGTGATTCCAAAACTTAGTCAAATGGATTGTTAGTAAAATAACTGGTATAATATTTTTACATGAAAGATGAAGAATAGGCTGACATTCTAAATACTTTAGTTACTAGTATATTCACTTTGCCTTTTCAGAAACCAGTTTTATAATTTGCTAAATTGGGCCTGGGTTCTAGGGAAGAGTCTTATATGGGTGTGTCTTATTGTTAACAAACCCTAACTTCCCCACAGGAGTCAATTCTGACAATAATTGTAATGATGACAGTTTTTCTGAATGAAAGATGCAGCGCCAAGGCTTACCTGCAATCTGATAAGTAAAGCCCGTTCTAGAGTTTCTGTTAAAAATTTCAGATTTGAACACGACAATCGCAGTACGCATAGAAGAATAAAATGCTGGAACAGCTGAAATGTTTCTGCCACAGAACCGGACACCTGGATTTCCATTACTCTGAAATCAAGTGGAAACCAAATCACATAAGTTTTAGTTTCAACACAGAATAGATCATAGCATAAATTAAATTATATACAGTAAAACCTATGAAAGCTGAAACCTACATAAAGCGGAAGCCTGTCAGAGAAGGAAAACTCAAATATTTTCCACTAAATGGAGAGTGATAGAAAAGTGGTGACTGCACCCTGTCAAAGGCAGAAAACTTTCCAGACCCAGAAAAACAAGGCAGTCCTGTCGAGTTCTGGCTCTCACAGGTTTCACTGTATAAAAGTGTGGCTTAAAATATTCAGCATGGAAACTAGTTATAGTGTTTGAAGGGCTCAATATGGAAGACTCTGCAACAAGACACAGATTGGCCTTGAAACTGGTGAATGTCCCACATTCTGAGGGACGGGACATGGGAGGACCAAGTCTCTGCTGAAACCACAAGACAAACACTTCCCTTCTGAAACCAATACCCTGGCCCTCTCAGGCCGGTTTGTAACTAAGTCCTGACCGTTGCTTTGAATGTATCGAGGCTGTTCCATCTCACTACAGTTTTCCTCCCAGGGATTTTCCACAGTCCTAAATTCCAGAAGACTAACTCCATCACTACTCCCCCAAGCTAGCTCTTGATACCCCTTGGCAAATCTAACCAGATCCATTGTCAGTACTGTGAATCCCACAAGGCAATGGGTGCCTGTAATGAGGTCCCTGCTCCCCGAGGCAGCCCTCATCACCTCTCAACAGAACAGTATAAATATAGTCTAATATCTGTCAACTCTTCTGTAAAAATAACTCATACAAAGGTAGGGCATTTGAGGCCCCTTACATCCAATTATGCCTCTAATACTTGTCTTGACCCTTGGAGTTTCAGTGTTTTTACAGATGATTCATTAAACACCCCAACTTTGCACTCCTTAATACCGGTAACTTTCATCTCTACTCTGTGGTTGCTTACCCCCAATGCCAGCTATTCAGACAGACCTTGTCATCATCTATAATGTTTCCATCACATAATTCTTTCATGATCTTCCAACTATATCTTCTTTTTCTACTCTTGGATACATTGAGGGTTCCAGTTTCTCCCAGTCCATCAGTCACCTTCTTGTCTTCCTTCCCTACCTAACTAGGATGAAAACCTGTTTCCTTTCTTTTACTTGTTCAGTTGAATGACATTATTCATTCATAACAAATACTGGGTCTTAGTTGAGGGCAATCCAACTGTTAGTATGTTCCAGAGCTTTTGCGTGCCCTGTAAATAGCATTTCTGTGCCCTGCTGGGTGTTCCTCCATGATTCCCACTGTCTCAGCAGCACGAAGCAATGGGAAATTGAAAGAACTTGAACACAGAGGCCTTTCTCCCACTTGTCTCTGAGTCCTTTCAGTAAGTTTTCATTGTGAAAACTACCACCAATGGAATGATGACCTCGCACCTCGGCTACCCCATGGTGGCCTAGGATTTATTTTCGTATCTATGCTTTGAACAAAATTAAGCAATGCTAGTATCTACTCAGCAGCCAGCATTTTCAGACTTCCACATTGGAGTCAACCAAAATGGGTTTTTCTCTCCCCACCAAGACTTACATGTCAATCAGGGAACCCTGGACTTATAATGAGGAGTATCTTGAAACCTCAGAAGGTAATAGATTGGACTTGCTGTTATTGCACACACAAGGGTTTGAACACAACACTCTTAGGATGAACTCGGGCAGATGAGTTGCTCCCCAAACTACAGTGACACAATCCAGTTAAGCTGGTGTTCACCAGGTATCCACCCTCAGTTCATGACTCTTCACTTTATAGATTTCCCCTGGATAATCTCATTATTTCAAATATCTACCTGCATGATGATGGATGGCGTCCAGATCTTTAGGTCTTCTGTCAACCTCACACTTTTACATCCAACTGTCTGCTCAACATCTCATCACATGGGTACTTCATACTCATCATCTCAAAACAGACTTTTATATTGTGCATTCCATATATCTATTCCCACTGGACTGGGGCCAAATAGCCTCCTGACTAATCTACCTATGTTCTTCATTAACCTTTAATTCCTCCTATACACAGAACCCACTAACTATAGACATATTTTTCAAAGCATGGCGCATGGAGCCCCGGGGTCAGAATATCAGAGATGCTCATCAAAAATACACATTAATGGCTCATTCCCGGGGGAATCAGTCTCTGAGGATGGGGCTCAGGGACACGCACTTCTAACAAGACACTCAGTGATTCTTCTGTACACCAAAGTTTGAGAGCTAATGACTTACAGGACCAAGTCTAAGGTCCTTAACATGTTTGTATGGAGGTCCTTGCACAGGCCTATAGAGCACATTATGCTGGAAGTAACATTGAGAATTTATTTAATCTTGCCCTCATTATTTCAACTGCTTTTCAAAATACTGGTGAAAGGGTCACTATGTCATTCATGCTATAATTACTACCTTTGGTGAGTCCTGAAACTCCAAGTAATTCTGTGAGCAGTCTTGTGAGTGAAGCTGTAAGGCCCACACAGTTATCTTGACTTGCTGATGTGGAGGAGCATCAATGACCCAAGTACAAGTGTAAAATGGAACATCTGGGTTTGATGAATTTGGTGACGAGACACTTTGTGGGACCCAAGTTGCATTATAGGTTCCCCCACAAGGCCCTGAGGAGACAAGAAAAAAAACAGTTTACAAGACATTTTACCCATGTCTCATCACAAGAACAATATTTAAAACTCGTTTTCCCTACCCTCCCAGACCAAGGAGCTATATTTACATGATTCTATTCTGGAAATGATGTTATTTAAGGTATATATTCTTGACTAAGAATTGTACCAAATTTGTATCATGGATTAAACGCAGAGTAATTAACATGGAGTTTAGTAATAGACATTAAGTTCCATAATTAATAGTGAGCTTTGTGGTTAACATTGAGCATGAAATTCTTTGTAGTACATAAATACACATGTATTTCATAATATATAAAAATGCCTCAAATTACTCACTGTCCACGATGGTGTATGTAGCTTTAAATCCTTCCCTTTCTAAAATGACGTCGCTGACAAATTGAACTGTAAGGAAGTTACCAGAAGAGATAAAAGGAGCAGGTACAGTGGAACCACAAAATGTTCCAGCCAAGTTGGCATTTTCACTATCCCCATCATACAGCTGAAAAGAAAAACAGCTCATTAGTTCTCCATTATTCATAAAGAAGGCTCGTATTTTGCATGAAATTGTGAAGTCAGAATAGGTCATGATTAAGAGTCATTACACTGATGTTCTTAGAGCTGTTTTAATTTAGGAACAGAATTGCTATTGAATTGATTTTATTATAATAAGATTTTCTAGTAAAAACCTGGTATGATGTCTAACTTTTTTTTTCTCATTGGGAAAGTTACAAATGATTTTTTAAAATGTGTCATTTGAGTCAGCAAGTCTATTGTTTCTGTTAAAAAATATACCCAGAAAGTGACTATCTTTCCCTTTTCTCTCACTACCACCTGGTCCAAGGTGCCATAGTCTCTTGCCTGGATTATTACTGCAGCCACCTTATGGAACTCCTGACTCTGCTCCTGCCCCACTAGTCTGTTCTCAACATGTCAGCCAGAGGTTCCTATAAAAATGTAAGTTAGACCAGGTTAATGCTCTACTAAAAACACTCCTAACTGCTTACCACCCACTCAGTATAAAACACCAAAGCCATTACATTAGCATTCAAGGCCTGAGACAATCTGCTCTCCACTTCCACCCCTCAGCTTTACTTTATGATCTAATTTCTTACTGTCTCCTCCTTGTTCACTCTGCTCATTGAGCAAACCAGGGGCACTCCTGCTTTATGGCTGATGCATTTGCTGTTCCCTTTGCCTGGAACACTATTCCCCTGTATATCCACATGGTTTGTTCTCCTACTTCCTTCAGGTCTTTGCTCAAGTATCACCAACTCAGTTAAGACCTTCCCCGACCACCCTACTTAAAACGTAAACTATTCCAAGATTTCGTATTCCCCTTTCCTGCTTTATTTTTCTTCAGAGTACTTATTACCTTCTATATCATATAATCTACTTCTACATACGTAATATTTTACTAATTCATTTATTGTCTTCTCTGACGAGAATACAATGTCCATGAAAGCACAGATTGCTGTTTGTTACAGAAGAGCGTTGGCACATTAAAGGCACTCAATAAATATTTAATAAATGAGTAAGTGCTTTGATTCTTCTCTGCCTCTACTCATTCCTCCTAAACTTGTTCTCCCCAAGACTTTATCTCAATAAATGGCTCAAGCCTAACACTTCAGCCATCCTTGATTCCTGTCTCTCTCTTCTCAACCCCCATATCTACTCCCTCTACCTTCCAAAGTTATCCCAATAGCCCCATCTCTATTGCTAGCACCATCGTCCTTCACTTTTACTATAACATCTTCCTAATAGATTTACCTCCTCAGAGTAGCCACAGTATTCTCCACACAGTTGCTTGAGTGCTTGCACACTTCCGTCAGATTATGCCTCATGCTCTGCCTGAAGCTCCTCAATAGATTCCCACTGCGCTGAAAATAAAGCCCGAACTCTTCATGTGGTCTGCGAGCCCCTCCCTGATCTGGCCTCTGCTTCCTCTCAGACCATACTCTATTCATCTGTTTTCTGTAACTCTTCCATCCCAGGACACTGCCCTGCCCAGGGCTGCTGCACTTGCTGCTATTGCTACCCAGAGCACCATTTCCACTGCTCTGAACAGCTGACTCCTTCTTGGCATGGGATCCTAGCTGAGCCTCAGAGAGGCCAACCCTATCTAGTGTTGCCCTCCACCAACATCATCCTGCTTCATTTTCTTATAATTGTAAAGCATCTTATATACTTATGGGGGCCCTGGTGGTGTAGTGGTTAAGAGTTCAGACTGCTAACCAAAAGGTTGGCAGTTAGAATCCACTAGCTGCTTCTTGGAAACCCTATGGGGCAGCTCTACTCTGTCCAATAGGGTCACTATGAGTCTGAATCGACTCGATGCCAACGAGTTTTTTGGTTTTTTATGTATTTATGCTTATTTTCTTTTTAAATTTTTTTTTTGTTTCTCCCAACAAGAATGTATGTACCACTGGTGGGGAAGACTTTGTCTGACTGATTCACTGCTGTGTCGCCAGCACCCAGCATGATTCCCAGAAGACAGTAGCTTTTGGTGAACACTTGTTGAAATAGTCAATGTTTGGATTTTGCTGAAATACAACAATAAAAAACAAAGATTTTCCAGCTGAGAAATATTCATTGTATTTCTAAAACAAGTATCTGTATTGGTAAAGCTCCAAATATTGAATTTATAACAGAACTATGGTGTGTCAGAAGCCTCAGAACAGCCTTGACCACGGACACTATTTTAAAATACTAGCGATATGTGAAATAAAATCCATTGCCATAGAGTTGATTCCAACTCATAGCGACCCTGTATTGCTGCTTTTTAACTAACTCTATTTCATATATTTATAGAGTTGCTATGAATATATGAAATAGAAATAGTTAAAAACAGTAATTTGAAAATAAAAAGAAAAAATAATTTCACCACTAGATGGCACTGTCTCTCCTACTTAAACATGACCAGTAAAATTGGAGCTCTAGTGGCATAGTGGTTAAGAGCTTGGCTGCTAGCAGAAAGGTCGGCAGTTGGAATCCACCAGCTGCTCCTTGGAAACCCTATGGAACAGTTCTACTCTGTCCTATAGGGTCTCTATGAGTTGGGACTGATTCCACAGCAATGGGTTTGGTTTGGTTTTTGGGTTAGTAAAACTGGTGCTCTAGTGGTGCAGTGGTTAAAGTGCTCTGCTTAAAGCAATTTTGAACCTGCCCACTGCTCCGAGGGAGAAAGATGTGACAGTCTGCTTCTGTAAAGATCACAGCCTTGGCAACCCTATGGGGCAGTTCTACTCTGTCCTATAGGGTCACTATGAGTCAGAATTGAGTCGATGGCAATGGGTTTTTAGTAGCATTAAAGCTAGAAGAGGCTTCTTGTTGTTGTTAGGTGCTGTTGAGTCGGTTCTGACTCATAGCAACCCTGTGTACAACAGAACAAAACACTGCACAGTCCTGCGCCACCCTCACCATCCTTGTTATGCTTGAGCCCATCGTTGCAGACACTGTGTCAATCCATCTCGTTGAGGGTCTTCCTCTTTTTGACTGACCCTCTACTTTACCAAGCATGCTGTCCTTCTCCAGGGACTGATCCCTCCTGATAACATGTCCAAAGTACGTGAGACATAGTCTCACCTTCCTTGCTTCTAAGGAAAATTCTGGCTGTATTTCTTCCAAGACTGATTTGTTCATTCTTTTGGCACTCCATGGTATATTCAATATTCTTTGCCAGCATCGTAATTCAAAGGCATCAATTCTTCTTTGGTCTTCCTTATTCATTGTCCAGCTTTCACATGCATATGAGGAGATTGAAAACACCATGTCTTGGGTCAGGTGCACCTTAGTCTTCAAGGTGACTTTTTTTTTTTTTTAACACTTAAAAGAAGTCTTTTGGAGCAGATTTGCCCAGTGGAATGTGTCGTTTGATTTCTTGACTGCTGCTTCCATGAGCGTTGATTGTGGATCCAAGTAAAATGAAATCACTGACAACTTTAATCCATTCTCCGTTGATCATGGTGTTGCTTACTGGTCCAGTTGTGAGGATTCTTGTTTTCTGTATGTTGAGATGTAAACCATACTGAAAGCTATGGTCTTTGATCTTCATCAATAAGTTCGTCAAGTCCTCTTCACTTTCAGCAAGCAAGGTTGTGTCATCTGCATAACACAAGTTGTTAATGAGTCTTCCTCCAATCCTGATGCCGCAGAAGAGGTTTGAGTTCTGCAATCTAACCCCCTCATTTTACAGAAGAGTACATTTTCCATTTGTCAGGTTTTAGGTAATATATTTTTTTTTCTGGTAAACAAGTTAGAATTTTATTATAATCTTTGCTGTCTTTATTACCACATTCACGTTAGCAAGTATTTTGATTCTGTATACTATGTGTCAAGTTCCTGTGCTAGGTCCTAGCTTCTACACGGACGCATAAGGCACTCTCCATATTTTCAAGATGTTCATTTGATTAGTGGGACAGGGAGATCTATTAATTAAACATATATATGGAGCACTGATAGTGCAGTGGTTAACTGCTAGACTGCTAACCAAAAGGTCGGCCACTCTGTGGGAGAAAGATGTGGCAGTCTGTTCCTGTAAAGATTTACAGCCTTGGAAACCCTACGAGGCAGTTCTATTCTATCCTATAGAGTCACTATGAGTGAGAATCTACTGAATGGCAATGGGTTTGGTTTCTGGTTTCTGGAGGCTTCGCAGTGAAGTGGTTAAGTACTTGGATGCTAACTGAAAACTTCGCCACTCTGAGGAAAAAGATGTGGCAGTCTGCTTCTGTGAAGATTTACAGCCTTGTAAATCCTATGGGGCTGTTCTACTTTGTCCTATAGGGTCGCTATGAGTTGGAATCAACTCGATGGCAATAGTAGTAGTAATAGTAGTTTTATATGTATATCTATCTATCTATCTCTATGTATACACACACACTCATACATACACACATGTATGTTATTTATATACAGTATAGAGAAAAATAAGTGCTACAATAAAAGAATAAAAGCATGTCAAATGTACTAGGGGAACCCAGATGATGGAATCAGGAAAGACTTTGCACAGACATTTGAACTGGTATTTAAAAGCAAACAGAAATCTTCCAGAACTACAAAAGGGAAAGAGCATCCCAGCCAGGTGGAACATGATGTGGACAGTCACGGAAGCAGAAAATGCATGGCATGTCTCAACAGTTTTGGCATGGAGATTAGGGTGAGAGAGAGGGACTGGAAAAATACATTGGAGCAATACTATCCCTTGTATTTTATGCCGGGAAGCTTGGACTTTATCTATAGAAACAATAAGATCTGATTTGGGCTTTAACTAGATAACCGGTGGGTGTGAAGGAAGGATTACAAGAGGGAGAATCTAGGGCTAGATGGAAGGGAATTACATATATGATCCACCCTGAGCTGGTTTTACTCGAGTTCTTTCACTGCCCCAGTAAGGTTTCTCCTAAATGAGTTGAAGTAGACAAGCTGTAGACTCTGGACAACTGACATGGGCTGCTTGGACTCTTATCATAGTTGCAACCAAAATTTTCTGCTTCTGCTCTC